GCAAACAAAGATCCCTGGGGCTCAGAGAGGGTGAGCAGCATGGAGAAGCCCCAGCGCACCTCCCGCCCTGCCCTGCACTGCACTGCACTGCGGTCGGTCGGTGGGGTCTGCTGCACACCATGGGGCCCGGCACTTCTCAAACCGACCGTGCAGATGCAGCCTCACAGCCTCTCCTCCTTTTCACCTCAAGTTCTTCACTAATCCGAGCCTGATCCCCAGTCTCCACACTGGGGCCAGAGTTGTGGGGGCGCAGCCAGGCAGGGATGGGGCTGGAGGTGCTCAGCTCCACGCTGGAGGGGGGGGTCGGGTGGACAGCAGGGCCACCCCTGAACTGCCCAGAGGGCATAGTGCTGGCTCCATCCCCATCACCACATAAAGCCAGAGGATCAGGAGTTCAAGGCCAGCCTTGGCTACATAGTGAGTCCTAGGTCAAGGTGAGATTCTGTGTGAGCTGCACCTTTAATTCCATCACCACAGAGACAGGGAGATGTTTGTGAGCTGTAGTCTACCTTGGCCTACATAGTGAGACACTATCTCCAAGTGCTCAAGGCCTACAACTGAACCCAGCTTGAGACAGGGCGGGGTGCCCACATCTTTGGGATTGTCAGTGGTTAGAAAGGGAAGCCGGGGGGGGGGGGGGGAGAGGTTGCAGGACTGTTGTGTGGGGAACAGCTTGTCTCCCCATCCCCAGGTCGGGGTACAACTGTAGGGTGCTCCTGCCCACTGCATTCTGGCAACACCCCAAGATAGTGTGGTTAGTGCACACTGCCCAGGACCTCAATTTGCATATCTGGGGCCAGGTGGCAGGTACTGTGTCTGCCTGCAGGGCATGTTTTATTTAACAATGCTAAGCCTATTCTATATATTTCTTAAAGGCAGGGTCTCATGTAGCCCAAGGTAGTCTCAAACTCAATGTGTAGCTAAGGATGACCCTGAATTCCCAACCCTCCTACCCTGAGATCTGAGATGACAGGCCTGAACCACCAGGCCTTACAAGTATCAACTAATTTGCTCACCAAGACACCTTCTCATTATCCTTTCTACAGATGAGGAAACTGAGGCCCGAGGGTGGTGACTTCCAGAGCTGCCTGGGCTTCACAGAGATAACCTTCGGCAAACCACAAAACAAGCTGAAAGCTGAGTGTGGGGTGGGAATGGGACCCAGCTATAGCCTGGTCACACATTAATTCTGAGGTCAGTCAACTTTTGTTGTTCGGTATGAGGCAGGAGATTCCTGTATGTTACTCAGCTCTGTCCCAGTCGTGAGGCACACTTGTCATCCCAGCACCAGGGAAGCAGAGGCATGAGGCTTAGCTTGCAGGTTCAAAGCCAGCCTGGACTACAGAGTTTCAGGTCGGTTCTGTCTTCCTTTACGTTTTATGGGTGAAGAAAAGGATGAGGAATGAAAATGGTTTCAAAGTTGCACAGCAAAGAACTGCTGAGTCCGGGGTTTGAACTTGGGTAGACCCTGTGAACTTTGACCTATAGAAGGTTTGACCTTCAAGCTCTTTACTAGAAAAAGAAGTCACCGCCAAGGTGGGGGAGTCCTCACAGGGGTTGAAGGATTTTTCAAACTTTGCACGCTCTGGGCAAGCACCCCATGCCCCACTCCGGCCTTCCCTATTGACTTTTGGTTTGGGGGACAAGTTCTGATCAGTTAGCCCAGGCTGCCCTCAATTCCAGAACCTTGTGCCTGAGCCCCGAGCTGGGGTGCCAGGTGTGGCCCATGTGTTTCAGGAGTGAATGTCACCGGTGGGCGCATGAGCGGGAGCCCAGGGGAGCTGGGTCATCCCTATCTACAGTTGGAGGTCAGTCTGGTCTACGCGACCCTTCGACTCAAAAGCCAAGAGGTGAGTGTGAGTGAGTGTGAGCCGGGTGTCTGTCCTTCCCGCACTGGCGATGACCCTGGCCTCGCACGTGCTCTGCAACGGAAGAGCTCCTCCCACTGCCCGTCTCCTGGGGGCGGGATCCGAGGCCTCAGGATAAACTATGGGTTAAGGGCCTTACTACCTGGCTGGTGATTGGCCACAGTGCAGCTCCACGGCCTCTGATTGGTCGTCGCTGGCAGCTGCCCCCGACGTCGCCGACTCCATCTTTATTCCTGGCGCTGCCCTCACCTGTCTGGGAGCCTCCCTTAGCGGGACTGGGCTGAGTTAGCGCTCTCACTTCAGCAGCCCCGAGTGTGCTGCAGCGCTGGCTGCCAGAGACCGCCCGCCCGCTCGCCCGCCCGCGACCAGGGGGTGAGGCCTCTCTGACCACATTTGTGAGACCCCTCCCCCACTTCTGGAATTTTCCAAACAACCGGGAAAGGTGGGGGAAGAACACGAGAGACTCGAGTTAGACAGCTACCAGAACTTCCTGCTTCGGGGGTGTCTTGCGCGGGAGAGAAACTGCACCCCTTTTCCTCTCTGCACATTTCTCTCCCGCGAAGGAAGCAGCTGAGCTGAGCCAAC